TCCAGGCATGAAGCCCCTTTTGCTGAGGGTTAATTTGTACCCCTGCTGCCCCCCACTAATGAAAATTTCCCTTTTCCAGATCAGAGAAGGCTGAGGATCAACGTGATCCCACATTTGGTTTTAGCTGCTGCTGTTATAGGTGCGATTTAGCAAAGGGAGGGACAAGAATATTTTGCTCAACTGCCCCAGAAGTGAGATGCAGATATGGAAATACAGGGGTAGAAAGAGCTACAAGAACTGCAGGAGCTGAGCTCTGAGATCGTAAACCAGCCTTTAGAGCTGAAAATGAGTTATTTTTACCGTAAACCATGAATTTCAGCAATTTTAAGCAGCAGACCCCTATTACTGCACCCCTAATTACTCTTACAAGCTGCAAGGGGCAGGCAGGTGATGTGGGGTCTATTTTTTCCCTCTTTAAGCAGCTGCACGTCTCACATTTATTACCCCTTCTCCCTGCAGGGCCCTCTTTGTGTGGCCACATTAACCCTTCCCAAAGGATTACTGTTGTTTGTTTTAAACAGACTCCCAATATTCAACATTACGTGAGCTCTCCTCCCTCTGCCCTTGATTTTCTGCACAGTTTTATTGGCAAAGTCAGTGGTCTTTAGCTCTCCTATTTTTATACAAGCGATGCTGTTATTTAATTAGGTTAAAGAGCCCAATTCCCAGACGGCATTTCAAATTATATCTCCTGCACCTAAGCTTTATAAAGCTTTAATCATTAAGTTATTATGGTAATTGCACCTTGACGCAGTATTCCTTACATGTCAGGGACAGCATTCAAAAAATATTAATTTGCACAAGACATTTCTCCGTCACCATGTAAATGAAAATTTTCAACTCAGAAACTACCTTTAAAGTGCTGAAATTACCTTCGCAGACACCACAGAAAGTGAACAAAACGGTGCTGTTGGTCCACAAGAAACTTTGCCTCATCTTTCTTTGGAGTGTTGGGTTTTTTTTTTTTCCTTTTTTTCATGTAAAACTAGCCACAAGTTTTCAAATTTACAATTAAAAAATAATAATTTAACATTGCACTAGTGCATAGTTTTAAGGACTCAGCGAGAAGATCAGAAAGTGCACATTTATTTAAGGGCTTCCACTAGCGATAGACCGTATTTTAAAAAAATGCTCCGTGGCGCCAAGCTCAGCTCTGGTGTTCCTGCTCCAGCCTTTGGGGTTTTCCTCTCTCCATCTGCAGTTCCTTCTCCAGTGCTTTATTGTGAGGCACTAAATGAGCAAAGATGAAGCAGAGGCCAGTGGGTTTTTATTCTGTAATTACTTTATGTCTCTTGTTTTATTGTACATGGACTCAGCTCCAGTGCAGCTCCATGCTTCAAGCTCGGGTAATTTTTCTCCGTGATGCATCTGTGTTGCCCAAAACAACATTCCCCCCCCCCCCCCCTTTTTTTTTCCCCCTCTCCTCTCTCTTTTCTAGGGATCTAAAAACCCAAGAAGTGACTTTTTGAAGTCTGGCAGAGGTAGGGGACAAGGGCACAGCTGAGGGCCGCTCACCCTGCATGCGACACCCTTGCAGATGCTCCTGCCCTTTTCCACAGCACATAAACCAGCTCCAATTACTGGGGGGTGAACGTGGTATTCAGGGAGAAACATTGCAGACTCCTGGCCCTGCATAAAAGGGTGGCAATTCAAGCAGCTTATATCTGACTGTAATTACATGAGTGTTTTAAATGAAGTCCCTTCTACCTTGTTGCAAAAAAGCAAATTTTCAGTTCTCCCCTTACACCTTTATCCTTCTCTCCTTTATCCTTCTCCTTAAACATTTCCTTGAAAATCTGCATGAAGCCATAGAAAAATTTGCCTTTCTTCTTTCCAGTTTCACAACACAATCAACACAGAGTGAAAGATAATAGATGTTACAGATTAAAACGTAATCATTTCCAGGGTTTTTCCTCGCCTCCATTGGGTTGAATTGGTTGGGTCAGGCTGAGCACGATCGATCCCGGCACTGCAAGCAAAGTCTCCAGCCCTTTTCCTCGCTGCTCATTTTAATCCTTGGCTGCAGAGATTTCCAAACAGGGCTGCTCTTGTGAGAGGTCTCATTAAGCTCCCTGCTTTCCCACTTCCAATTAGGAGCAAGGCCGCCCATCACAGATGGCGGGACTGGGGCCGCCGCCTGCGCACGGCTCTGCTTGGGGCTCCGTCATTTATTCCAACCTCTTCAAAATAAAGACCATCCAACACAAAGAGCGCTCCCAGTCCTCTTAACAGAGTCAAAAAAATCCAGTAAAAGATATTTCAGCTATTAAGTCCAAACTGAGACTTAAATGCTTGCATAAATTTATAGAGAAAGGCGCTCTTTGAACGGAATGGGAGTAGTCAAGCACGTCAAGTTACAACCGTGCCAGTTTTCTGTTTAACAGCCTGATGATTGTGGTTTAACTACGTGAATAAACGTGGCTGGTGGCAGCAATTATGGCAACATTTTGTTCTTTTTACAAATCTGTGCTTGTGAAGACACAGGAATCACCTGAGGATTTGCTCTTACGCAAGCTTTAGAGCTTGGTTTTTCAGCACTATTGCTGCTCAGCAGCAACTTAAGACAATAATTACCTGTTTCTAAAATACAGGACATTTCACAGCTTCTCTTTCACAAAAAAACTCTTTCTTTTCCTTCTCCATAGCCTTTTTATTGTAATACTGTGCATTTTTAATAAGCCAGTCAAGTTGCTTTTAGATGCTATCGAAATAACAAGAGGTCCCCAGCCACAACTTGAAAAGAAAGATGTTGTCATGGGCAGCATCTGGTCCTCAAAAATCTTTATTCTCAATTACAACAGGCGGCAACAGTGGATTTGACTCTTATACCCACAAAGGCCAACCTGATTCCAAAAGTGTTATTTTGTTGTTGCTGTTAGTGCCGTAACTGGCTCCTACACTCGTTATTTGGAACGTGGCTGTTTCTCTGGAGAAAGTTCAAGGTATCTAGAGTCACATGCATGATTTCTATGCATTTTGGTGCTCTTGCCTATATACAACAGGCTGTGCTCGATGACCCACATCCAACCGGGGCTGAGCTGCAGCTGGCAAAAAGTTAAACGAGAGATGCTCCAACAGGACCTGAAAATTTGCTTCTCCTGGTCTTTCCATCTTCCCTTTTAGTTTAGATCTACTTAATGCTGCAGTATTAGTGCCTAAGGACTTCTGCTTGACTTTTCTCATGTCGGTAAGGTCACCTTAGCGGGTAAACCAGAGAAGACATCTGTAATTGCCTTAATTTACTCAAGAGGCCGAGTGAGACTTGTGGGGTGAAAAAGAATCAGGGATGGACACTGACAAGCTCGGCAATGATTTCCATGACAACAACGGCCCAAATACCTTCGGCAGGACCCAAGAGTGAAGAATTAATAAATAAACAGTTGTATTTACAACTATCTTTTGACAAAGAGAGGAAGAGAGACAAAAAAGTCCTTATGGGGTACAGAGCAGGGGGACAAGAATGCTTGATTTTCACTCTGTTTCTCAGAAAATACTTCCCAGAAAATGTATTCCTCTGTGACTAAGTCCTCTGCTTGAACAAAAGAAGTAGCAATGACAAACATTAGTGAGACATTGTTAGCGGCCTGCAGTGCCACTCTGTAATTTCTGCAATCAAAAAATGCAGACCTTCCCATCAGAAGGAAAAATACCGTAATCATGTCAAGTAGCATCAAAACATTGGCAGGAGAAGGGGTAAAAAAGAAGCATCTCCTTCTCTTCCTGGGTTGGGATTGACAGATAAAGAAGAACATAGCTGTGCGCCCTTACCAGGCTCCAAAAGCTGCCATAGCCGGGAGAATTTTGTTCTGCTATAGAAATATATTCCCATAAAAGAAGGGGGACAACCTGGAGAAAGGGAACAACCTGCCAGTGGATATAGGAAATGTGTCATTTGGGAGCCCATCACACTACCTCATATGTTTCAAATATTTTTGAACTGGTAGAGAGCCAACAGAAGGAGGGCGGTCTGTGAAAAGAGGGACCTCCTGCCAAAACGCTGGGGATTTGCACAACGTTATCAGAGCTTCACAAGGTTGTTCCTTTGACCCAGCAAAAAGCAAAGGGGGAAAAAAAAAAAAAAATCCCATTTCAAAACAGCTCCCATGTCACCTCCTGGGGTTGTTGAGCTTGGCCGGGGCTGCTGATCTAATGTGTCCAGGTCTCCCTGCCTCCCCTTCCTATCCCACTCTGCCTCAGTTATGACAATATTCCATAAAATGACTCTCGGAATCCATTTAGATTAAAACCAATCCTCCATACAGTAGGGCATAGCATTAAGAATAAAATGTAGAAATACCATGGGGTGGGCAAGTCATCAACTCACCAACATCAGAGATCCAAACTGATGTTAAAACATTGACAATACTTCAGTTGTGAACAAAGACATCGCAGCAGCCAGAAAGCAAAAGAGGCTCATCCGACATGCAGCAAATAAGTCATTCTAGGCCTAGATTTACAGAGATTCTTGGATTCTTAAAATTAGTAGAAACTTTACAAATTCAAGTCCAAGCTCCTATCAAAGTCATTCTAAGAGAAGTTTGAACACATCTAAAAACAGCTTGAAAATAGGAGTGCAAAATGTGGATGTAGGTGCCAATTTTTAGGAAATTTTACCATTACAGAGTTTTGCTAATTAGTAAGAGAGACTCTTAACAGAATATCAATATGAAAAAAATAAATGCAGCTGAATAAAACATCACACGGTTGTATAGAAACTGCCCACTTACACTTGCAACATAAAAAAAATTCAAGAACGTCATAAAATGGAGAAAATCTATTAAAAGTCCTCTGAAAAGCAGCAAATTTCATGTCTCAGGAAACATTCCTCATCATTTCTCAGGGAGAAAGATAAGACAGTCTTTTCCCTTTCTGTTTTATCTACGTAACCTTAAATTTTAACAAGTTCTGTATTATCTGCAGCACTATTCTTTCTGCAAAAACAAAGCAAAAATTCTATGAATTGATGCCAGCAAAACAAAGAGTAGTGGAAATGACTCTACCTGTTGATAGAAGAAATTTAGTGTTGGCTTGTCCTCAGTGAACTGGTTTAGAAATCCTTTCGGTAAATATCGGATTCTTAATTCATACCTGGGAAGAATAAAAAAAATAAAATGGGAATTAAAGTGACAATGCACATATAAGAATCAAGATTTCCTCAAAAACTAGAGACAAATCTTTCAGGGCTCTTGAAAATAATAATAAAATCAAAATAAACTCTGAAAGTGTAAGGAAAATTCTGTTTTGACAAATCAAATCTAAAGAGCTAGAGGGCACAGAGTGCGTGACGATCACAAGGATGGTTAGAAGAGACCTTCCTCACAGCCCTTGGTGCCTTCTCAAAGCTTCAGTGCACCTGAGGCATCAAGACTCAAAGCGGGTGAGCTACCAAACCCAGACCCAAGGCAAAGGAGGGCCCAAATAGGCAATGACAGCAGCTGAGCTGACGCAGCCACTAGCATGACCCCATGGCAAGAGCTACTTGGGTTTCCCAAGCATCAGGGCTCAACACGCAGCTGCCAGCAAGGAGCACCAACATCCACCCATCATCCTACTGCTCCCAGTGACTTCCTATCAAAAAACCACAGGCTCGGTCGGACCTCGCAAAGGAAACATCCCAGTTTCTTCTCTGATCAAGCGCCTGCAATAATTGCCCCGATTTATTCCATAGGCTTTGAAGAAATTCAAATTCTCTATATTCATTCCCCAAAATGAGTATATTAGCTACAAGAGCTGTGATCACTTAGTTATGACAGTAACTTGTTATGATAGTAAGAGTGAACATTGCAAGAATCCCATCTGTTGGCATCATCAAGTTGAGAATTTTTGCTTAAGCAACTGATTTTGCTGCCCATAATGAAGGTTTGCTTGGACATTTGTTAAGAAGTTGCTGTTGCTTCCGACCCAGCAACCTGCTGCAAGCACAAGTTGGAGGATTCTTTGCTTCTGAAATCACTGAAAATATATGGCCTGGTTGTGAATCTTCAACATATGGAAAATCATGCAAAACTAATACAGAGTAAGCAAAATTTACAATACAGAGTTAAAGATCTTCAGTTATTCACTGAATACAGGTGACCACCTGCAAGGGAACAAAGGTTACCACGAGGCTGAAGGACAGTTCCCCAGTCTCTTGCTTCTGACCCCACAATTCATCTCTGAATTATACTGTAGAGATTAATACAGCATGAAACTAGTTTCCTGTATAAAGAAAGCAAATTGGTTCCTTTTTGGTTGATCTGAAACATTTTTAGTTGTCTTATTTTAAGACTAAGACCATGAGCCCATCTTCTGAAAAGTGCCCCTTCCAGTTTCTTGATGTTCTTCAGACAATCTTTCTCCTTCTCTTGTCATTCCTTTCTGTTTCCATCTTTAATTCTTTTCTCTTGACAGCTGGTCTCTAGATAGAATTTTATTTGATTTTTATTTTTTTTGCCAACCTTATGAAACCACTGCACAATCTTGCAAGCATTCTGAAATGAATGCAACAACACGTAAGAAGAATCCTTTATCTGCTCTTCCAGCATATTAGGAAGAAACGTTTCCCGAATGCTGTTGGACACCCCTAAAATATTTCTTTTTCAGTCATGCTGCTGGCAAAAAAAGAAAAAAAGAAAGAAAAAGAAAAAAAGAAAAAAAAAAGGAAAAAAAAGAGAGAGAGATCATCCAGGTCTGAAGAAAATTATCCAGAACTTGTCATCTCGGCCCCCTCCACGGTGTACAGGTGGATTCAAGCATCCCAACCTGGAGTGGGCTACAATCCACCCTTCTTCTCTGGCATGAGAAAATACAGGAAAAGCAGCGGCTATGCTTGGCTCTGCAGTGAGGCGATGACAAGAGCTCCTTTTTGTATCGAGATCTCAGGAGAAAACCAGGAAAGCAGCCTGGCTGGGACACTCCCCCAAAATGACCTTCATTATCTCTTTATAAGCTCATCTTCATCCAGGGGAATGAAGAAGCTCATTTCCAAGCGCCAAGTCAAGGAGTGTTTTTCAGTCTTATTGAAATCTACTGTCTTTGAAACGTGGCGTCCTGAATGAGTCCCTTTCCACAAGCCAGATCAAACAGGATCCCTGCTGATGAGCCCCTCCTATTACCAAAAGGACTGGCTAGAGATGCCTGTAGAGATGCTTCCATGTATATACTGATGTTGAAGGTTGGAAAATTTCATCCATCTGCAGAACAGTCCATGCCTTGTGAGGATTACCTCTTTCTAGATTCTTCTGAGACTTGGCCATCACTTCTACAGAGGTAGAAAATCTTCCTCTTGTGACACGTGCTATGGACCCATGGAAAGGTAGGCTTCAGAGCTCCCATGTCGCATGGGGAAACGACTTGCCCATAGGACACAGTGCTGAGCACTTCCAGGTGCTTCCCTTGAGCAACAAGAACTTGGGCAGCTGATTAAGTCGTATCAGTGGTGATCTGGCTTTCATACCAACACAGTGGCTTCCATATTGCAGCTACCAAACCTACAGGACCAGAGTGCTAAGCATCGAGCTCTCTTCTGGTCTTCTTTACCTGATGGAGCCAACGCGTGATGTCTGCTCCCAAGTTCCTGCTTTACTGGCTCTTAACTGCAGAAGAAGATCTCTCAAGCCCGACACCAGAGTTTGTTCCAAAAATGTCATTTGTTACTTGAAGCTCTCAGTTTTTCCCCATGGGACAAGAAAATCTGAAACAAACTGAACACACTCCAGTCTTTATTGTCTTTCCATTAAAAAAAAAAGATAGTTTGGAAGACAGTTTTTCTAAGACAACTGCATGAAACCACTCAAATTAGATCGTGTTTCTGTAGTCCTAGCCTTTGCACATTCCAAGATGAGGCAGAATTACCCTGTGTGACATTTCACACAGTAGACTCCAATATATTTATTTCCTGAACTATTATAAACAAACAAGCACACAATTCCAATAATTATAACTCTGACTGTTTTGGACTCCGTCATTTTGGAAACATTCAAGATTTTCTGACAAAGGAGGAGATTATCTTTGCTTCCAGAGAATAACATCAAAAGAGGTTATATTGCTGTAAAAACTAGTAATAACAGCTGGGGCAGAGTCACATCTCTGTCGCTGCCCTTCTCTGGCCCATTCCAGCTGCAGCACCATAAATAGCACAAACAGCCCCAAACAAAAAGCTTCATAGATGGAGGGTGGATTTTATTCCAGTAATTTTTGTCTGGATCCTACTGAGAGTCACCATAACAGTCAATATTTGTATTAGTCCTGCAGAATGTCTGAAAATCTACTTCTGTAGATTTTGAATACACAATCCTTTTAATTTAGATAATTAAAAAAAAAACCTGCAAGAGGCAGTTAGTGGATTATTAATATTATAGGAAGCTTTTAATTCAAACGCTCTTCCAAGATTCTCTCCCCCTTACTAATCTAAATATTTTTACAAGCACTGTCATATGATCTTAAACGCTCTGCTTTATGGTATTACAAATATGACAGCAACATTTTGATTATGCAGAGCAAATTCCCATGGGTTTAAAAGGTATGGCAGGCTGTATGTATTTGATAAAATATAAAATGACACTCTGGAAAGGCGGTGAATAATTTATATCCTATCATAGCTCTTTCCTGAGTATTTTCTATAAACTCCCTCCACATTCTTCAAAATAATCTTCCTTTTTTTTTTTTTTTCATTTTAAAATTGATGAACTTTGTTTTGTAGCTTGCAATATGCAAGATGCATTGCAAAATACAAATGCAATCAGCACTAGGAAATTTGCACAGAATAAATTATTTGCATTTAATATACAACACTAGTATCATAGGATGCTTTCAGTAATACTCTGCTTCTAAATCTGTAATTTCTAAGTGTTATCTAGGAAAAACTTCTTGAGAAACACGAGGGAAAATATTGATGCATGTGCCACAAACGTTACTATCCATAAAACGCAAGATGCACCAAAAAGAACACGCTCCATTTCTGACACCTGGGTTTTAAACGCTCCCAATTTTTTTGACAACTTAAAGACAGATCACTAAAGTGAACTGATAAACTGTAAACTGGGACATCTGCTAGTGTATTATGTTAATTCAATTTGCAAGCCATTAGGCACAGGCTATTCACAGTAATTCTGCAGTGGATTGCGCCGGTCGGCTTTAGCAACTGTATTTTTAGCAACTTCTGGACAAATTGTGGTTACAAATAGAAAGGAAGAAGGAAAAAAAAAAAAAAAAAAGAACACTCAAAACCCCTGCAATGAACTGGTAAGCTTAGTAAGCTACTTTTCAGCTTGCTCTTATGATTTTACTGCTGTACCCAGCTCTGTAGTGCTGCATTTTAAAACTCTTGAGCCCTCCTCTTCTTCCATCTCTTTTAACCAAGTGACTGCTATCAAGAAAACACCCTATCAAACATACTTAAGCTTCGGGGAACAGAACAAAACAAAACGAGCAAACCAATTTTTGCAGGTTTTTTTTTTTGTTTGTTTGTTTTTTTTTTTTTTTTTTTTTTTTTTTTTTTTTAAACTATTCATTATACCTGAGTAAGTCAGGTCCCAGTAACGGGAAAGGGGAGAAAAAGCACAAAGCTTCTACCTTGGGCACTCACTTCACTGGCCACTAGCAGGTTTTGCAGTTGCAGACCAACATGCTCATCTGTTCTTAGCAAATATATATGTCCCACTTGATCTACATAGAAAAGTAGCTGCTGCTCAGTATTTTCTTATTTTCATTCAAAGAACAAGGTTTGCCCATTTAAATTTGCAGAGCTGAGTTTACATCACAGACAGAAACAAGACCCAGAATTAGGATTCTTGCATTAAAATTGGTAAAGATGGCAAAAACTTGAGACCTGTGGCAAGTTCTGCAGGTTACAGGGACAATTTTGGCAAGCAGCTAGGAGCTTTCCACTCCTGTTTGAGGCCTCTTCTAAAACATCAGGCTAACCCACATCTTCTCAGTTTGCAGGAACCCTTTTTCAGGCACTTGCAGCTCTCTGATGTGCATTTTCTTCTCCCATCCTGTGCCACCCCACTTTATTTAACCACGTAAGGATTTTCTTTAATAAAGCAGATTAGAGAGTGTTTTTTTCCTTTCTCAACACTTATCCAACTTGATTTTGGCACTGAAGGGATCGAGAGCTCTTACTTCCATTCCTCGGGAGGGTGGGCTAGTTCAAACTTCTCTCTCACGTTGGATACTCCCATGTCCAGGTGGAGCCAGTGAACTTCCTCAGACTGCAGGTGACTGAGCCGCAAGCCGTAGCAGGCCACGTTTTTCACTTTGTGACTGTCCACAATCTTCTGAATGATACCCTGAAACAGAAATACACACGCCTCATGAGCTGCCAAATGCAAAAGGTATTTAAAAGAGATTTATTTTTTAATATAGCCATGGCATTCCTTATGCAAAATGCTAAGCAATAGAGCAGATATCACCTGGAAGAAGATTAGGCATGTGTTAAAAGAAAGCTGTATTTTCAGACAAGCATTTACCATTTCTGAAGCTCTGCTGGCATGCGGTCGAAGAGATCACATAAACACATCTCCTTGAACCTCATCAGAACTAACTCACAATTCCTCCACAGGAAGCAGGGAACATAAAAACCAAAATCCAGAGCTGCAGATTTGCAGATTAAAGGGGCATGTATTTGTTTAAAAAACTAAGCAGTGTCATCCTCCTCCATCCCAGTGACGATACTGTCACAATATCCTTGTCTTCCAGGCCTAGGAGAAGACTTCCTTCCATAGTCCTCATGGATACGAGGCCCCTGCTTGGAGAAGGATGGACACAAAGAGCGCAAGATACTGGTGTAGAGGGCATCATTTCCAACCCCTCTGGTAGATCCTTCCCTCTGGTGGATCCCTCCCCCAGACAAGATTTTCAGGTGGTCGCTACCTCATCAGCGGCACTTGAGACCTGGTGGCCAGGAGGAGCCCGGGGACAGGGACACCAGGACGAGCAGATACTCGACCAGCCAGGTTGAACACTCATTAAAATCAAATATGACATAAACAAGGAGTACTGGGGGAAAGCGGCCAAGTGTTTGAAACTGCATCCTGAAGACTTCCACATGAACTCCAGGAACATGAACTGATGCTTCATGTAAACCAAACATGTGTGGCTTTTAACACATTATTATGATTTTACTGCTGTACCCAGCAGTATGTTTGTTATTTTAAATCAGAAAGGCCTGTGAAATCACTCCATATACTAAATCCTGGAGCTAGAGTAAGATGCTCCCAAGGTGACTCCTGGCCTCATTTTCCCATTTCGTAGAAAGGAGAAAGTCTCTTGCACAGGATAAGCCTTTGAGTAACATCTCCTACCAAGGGACGTCACGTTAATGCTCCCGAAACCCTTCAAAGATGTGAAATGGTATTTATGCATTAAGTATTACTGCTTGGCAAAACATTTAAATGAAAGGAAGTGAACACCTAAGGCCTGCTACAAGTTAGATATAAAACTTCCCCCAAGGAAAGCTCTGGAATCACTCCACCAGAATTTAGGATGCCCTAGAACAACAGTGAGAGCACAAAGTTCTCATCTTCCAGTCCTACCAGAAGCTTCTCCAGCTACCTCAGTGTTGCCTTTTAAGAGTGATGAAAAACAGAAGAGAAGCAGTAGGGAGTTGTGGCTAGAAGAGAGTTGGGAAGAAGGTGGAGGCTATTTTGATCTCAATTTCAACATCTCAGCCACACTGTGAAGCCCTACACTGTGCTTGCAAAGCCCAAGTGCTTTCTCGGATCCAGGTCTATAGGTTAAATACTAAGGCAGTTCTATCACTGTTGACTTGAGGCCAAATGTGTGGATCTAGGTGCTATTTGCAGTAAAATGCCAAAGGGCTACTTAGAGTGCTCTAAAAAAACCCAACTGCCTTGCTTGCCTCTCTCATTTGAGATGAGATCTGTGCATCAGTGCCACACAGTTCCATCATCTCAAACAGATATATTATTCCTATAGGTAGATACTACAGTCTGAAATCTAGCCCCTGCATTGACAGCAAACCTCTATCATCCCAAAAAATCACATTTGTTAAGAGTTTTGACTCCTGCTGATGTTCACAGGCTCTTTCCGTTGAATGTAGAACTGTGTGTGATCACCCCCTACTCAAGTGCATTATCAGAAGGGGCTACTTTAAAAGAAACCCCCAAAAGGTAAATTCTGCTACCTAATCAATTGACACTGACCTTCACAGCTAGCAGCAGATACACCAGCACAGTGCTACAACGCACAGAATTCTCCCTAATTCTTCAAGACATTGGTTTATTTCAGGAGAAATCTGAATAAGGAATGTCTGACCCGCCCAGCAATAGGTGTTGACTTCTGAATAGACAGGGGTGAGCAGAGCAGGTGAAATCATTGCTAAGACATGAGAAGCAGCTTCTCCTGGATCAAGGATAGACTGTCACAGCTTTAATTCTCTTTTGGTCACAAAGACAGAAATATGCTTGTTTAGAGGTAGGAGGAAACCAAGATGTCTGTCCAGGAATGCTTGTCCAACTAGGATCACAGAATCACTGAACGGTTGAGGTTGGAAGGAACCTCTAGAGATCATCTAGGCCAACCCCCTGCTCCAGCAGGGACACCTACAGCACAGGGCACAAGGTAGAATCCAGGTGGGGTTTGAAGACCTCCAGAGAAGGAGACTCCACAGCCTTCCTGGGCAGCCTGTTCCAGGGCTCTGTCACCCTCATAGTAAAGAAGTTCTTCCTCACCTGGAGATAGAACTTCCTGTGTTTCAACTTGTACCCCCTGCCCCTTGTCCTGTCGCTGGCCACCACCAAGAAGAGTTTTGACCCCTACATTTCTCTCCCCTCAAGTACTTAAGACATATTGCTCCGGGACAGTGGACTAGATGAGTGCACGGTGCGGTGGATCGAGGGCTGGCTGGATGGCAGAGCTCAGAGGGTGGTCATAAATGGGGCCGAGTCCAGTTGGAGGCCTGTGGCCAGTGGTGTCCCCCAGGGGTCAGTACTGGGCCCGGCGCTGTTCAATTTTTTCATCAATGACCTGGACGAGGGCACAGAATGCACCCTGAGCAAGTTTGCAGATGACACCAAGCTGGGTGGAGTGGCCGACACTCCGGAGGGCTGTGCTGCCATCCAGAGGGACCTGGACAGGCTGGAGAGTTGGGCAGAGAGGAACCTCATGAGGTTCAACAACGACAAGCGCAGGGTCCTGCACCTGGGGAGGAGTAACCCCAGGCACCAGTACAGATTAAGGGTCGACCTGCTGGAAAGCAGCTCCATGGAGAGGGACCTGGGAGTCCTGGTTGACACCAAGTTAACCATGAGTGAGCAGTGTGCCCTCGTGACCAAGAAGGCCAATGGGATCCTGGCCTGCAGCAGGAGGAGTGTTGCCAGCAGGTCAAGGGAGGTGATTCTGCCCCTCTACTCAGCTCTGGTGAGGCCGCACCTGGAGTACTGTGTGCAGTTCTGGGCTCCCCAGTATAAGAGGGACGGGGAGCTTCTCGAGAGGGTCCAGAGAAGGGCAACCAGGATGATTAAGGGAATGGAACATCTCTCGTATGAAGAGAGGCTGAGTGAGCTGGGCCTGTTTTCTCTGGAGAAGAGACGGCTCAGAGGGGATATGATTAATATGTATAAGTTCAGGAAGGGAGAATGCAGGGAGGAAGGGGACAAGCTGTTTTCACTGGTGGCCAGCGATAGGACGAGGGGTAATGGCCACAAGCTGAAGCACAAGAAGTTCCGTCTCCAGGTGAGGAGCAACTTCTTTACTGTTAGGGTGACAGAGCAGTGGAACAGGCTGCCCAGGGAGGTTGTGGAGTCTCCTACTCTGGAGGTCTTCAAAACCCACCTGGATGCCACCCTGTGCCACATGCTCTAGGTGTGCCTGCTTGAGCAGGAAGGTTGGGCTAGATGATCTCTAGAGGTCCCTTCCAATCTTAAATATTCTGTGATTCTGTGATTAATCAGATCCCCTCTCAGTCTTCTCCCTTCAGGCTAAACAGGTCCAGCTTGCTTAATCTTTCCTCATACGACAGATATTCCAGTCACTTGATCATCTTCATTGTGAGTTTAGACCTTTGCACCAAACTTTTGCCATGAACCAGGCGTCTCCAAATCAAACTGTGGGGTCTCCTGCAGTGCTAGGAAAAGCACAGCCACAAAGTACTTCCAAAAGACTTGCGGTCCAACACAGGCAGACTCAGAGAGACAGGAAACAGTCGGCCAAAACAGAGCCATGGAACTGGTTGGAATATACAGCTCTCCCAACCAGGCACCTCTGCCTTCTATCCATGGAAATAAGTTTCAGCAGATGGGTAAGGAAAACGAAGAGCTTGCTCTGGAAGTTTATTCTGCTGTAGGAATAGGACCCATCAATGGGTCCTTGCCTTCAGGAACTTTTTCAGGCCCATCAGGCTAGAGGTGTCCTCATCCTTAGTTAAGGGTGAGTAATAAGTAAAAAGTCCTTTTTACTTCAGCGTCTTGAGTTCTCATTCTGTCTGCTTCAAAGACAATATTTTGGGTGGTACTGTGCAGAAGAGGAAGGAAAAGGCATCTCTGACATGACCGGGTTAGAGGAGTCACGGACCAAGTATCTTTATCGAAGCCTTCTGATCGTACCCAAAAACACAGTTTAAGATTTTGGGTTCTTATGACCACACGCATCTTTGCTTCTCCCAACTATTACTTCAGAAGCAGCAATCAGGTTTGAAGGCTCTAAATTTAGAAAAAGGTTCAGGGGATGCTAGGTGGATCTTATGGAACAGGGACATGAACCACAGAGTTCAGCAGCACTTCTGATGCCAGCCACCTAGGTGGGACTCGCACAAGGTTTTCAAATGTTTGTTTTCTGATGATAGTTAATAAAAAATTACTAAATGTCAATGGTGCCTTTGTTTATCTATGAAAGTCATACTGATCATACATATATACTACATATATATATATATTTAGTTATGCATATCCTTAGTATGAAACCAAGAAAAAGAGGATAAAGAGAGCAAGCCAGCTCTTTACAAACCAAAAATGTACTTCCAAGAACTGCAAAACTTTCCTGAATCCTTTGCAAAAGAGAGACTTCAACTTGCCAGGAGACGGCTTTCTCCGAAGGACTAAATCCACCCAGAAAAAACAAGGGCTCCACAGCCAGGAAGATTTCACTGAAGCAAAGTCCAGCCAGGACACCAGTTTCAAGACAAACAGCAAGGATCACCAGCTCCTTATAGTCTCACCATTTCAGGATGATCCTTCTGGAGGCCAGAACGGCGTTTAACGGCGTTTAACGGCGTTAGCAACAGCCATTAACCTCTTTATTAAAAGGGCTTTGCGTCAAGGTCAAGGTTTTACGTGTGATGTGCACTACTGACATGCACAGAAGTCACTGTTTCCATTCTGCTCTTTGGAAATTACTCAGGATCTTTATATAAATACATATATGTATATTAGAGGGAGAATGGAAGAGGAATAAAGAACACTAGTCCTTTTCTGAGGGCTTTGACAGCTAAACACAACCTTTCCACTGACAAAGGCAAACTCGATTTGGCTAAAAAAAACTGTTAGGTTAAGGAAACATGAAAAATCAGGAAAAAAAAATTCATCCTTACTTTCCCTTCATATAAGGACTTTCCTCAAGGTCCTTCGCTTTAAGAGCAGAAATACCTTTAATAGTAATAGGCCAGTCTGGAGGTTTCGGCCCAAGTCAGACTTCCTTTGCAAACTGGAAGGTTTCCTCGGCGGTGATCCCAGCAGCCACACACTAACCAGGGAGAAGTCTTGAAAATAACTTTTTCTTTCTCCCTTTTTAACTGCAGAGCTCCTTCAAAGCTCCCCCCAAATATGCTTGAAGAGCTCCTTGGAAACAGCACCCATCACCTTTCAAGATCTTAATTCTGAAGAAAGGAAAGCTCTGCTGCAGACTATCTCTCCGTTTTGGGATGGAGATGGTCTCAGGCATTAAAACCTTAAAGGTTATTTTCATTTTAAATTATTCGGCTTGCTTTACCAGTAGTCATTTCAAAGGAATGCGGGCTTGTTCTCCAGCGACAGTTTACGGTTTCTAAAATAAATGTTAAGACATGGCAAGACATCAGCACTCAGTCATTACCATGAGGTACCTGCACATTTCAGTAGTCACTGTACCCTTTTCTCAAAATAAAAAACTTAAGAAGTCCTTTTTTTTTTAATTTCAAGGATAAAACATAAGCATGACCCTCACCCAAGAAGCTTTTTTTTTTTTTTTTTTTTTTTTTAAGGAAAAGAGAGTCTTATAGAAAAACTGCTGCTTTTAGCAACAAATATCCAAATAAAAATTATAAATGGGCATATATGAAAACTAAAAATTAAGGCAAACCTCAAATAACTTGTTACCTGTTCTTTTAATGCAGCCTTTACAGAAATCCAAGAAGTCTGTGTATTAAACAGTACGTAACTGCAAACTGAACTCAGCACTGGATTTCTTTACAAACAGAGCAAGTGGCACATCCTAGAATTCCATAACCACAGGTATTTTTGAACTGGAGAAACCAGAGATGTAATCTCTGCTTTTGTTTTTAAAGTCTCTAGATATTTGGTTAGAAAGACCAATAACCTCAACTTAAAGTACTACAGAAGTAAGTCTTGCACATACTTTCTTGCAAGGAAGTCTAAAGATACCCTGAGACCTACTGTACCCAACAACACATTCCTGTATCAAACGCATTAATCATAGAGGTTATATGAAAGCACTATAAAGAAACCAGAAATCAAAGATATTTTAAGTGGCATTCAAAAATTCCTAGTCCACAGAGAATAAATTTATGTGTATTGATAGCAAAAATTCTGATTGTTGTAGAGGTGTAGTTTCTCCACTCACCAAGACATCCCTTAACACAGATGTCAGCTTACTCAGCTGACACAAAGAAGACTTTCTGATAGTCCCCAATGAAAAATAATTGAATTTCACAAAATTTACTCCACTTAGAAACGATGTTCATTCTATTCTTGCACAGTGATGCTAGAAAATAAATTGTAGGAACAGAAAACATTTAAGCTTAACTCCTTAAGCTTTTTCATTAGTTTTCTCTTGCATAAAGGAAAACTAATAACGGGTGGGAAGAGAAACCAGATCTCCTGAACTCTGACTGCTCTCTCCTTTCAGCAGATCAGAATTAGGTCCTCAAAGTGCAGCTTGAGGTAGTGTAAAGAGAACAGCGGTGATAAAAGGATACGCAGATGGAAAACTACTACAGGTAGAATCTTATCGGGAAAACATAAAACCCATCAGCACCTCCCATCACTCCAGGTTCTGCTCTTGTGGGATAATCAAAAACAAGGAAACCAAGAAGCTTTTAAAATATTAGATGTGTTGCAGTGAGCCCCTTGCTGCTGCACTTTAGTTTATTTCCCTACCACGAGACCTCAAAAAAAGGTAAACCTAAAAGACTAAGTGTAGTAAATGGTCAGTGAGGGCTTCAGTATTAGATTACTTACCCAAAACTTCTACCTTAACTTCCTTCCTCAGAGCAGATACTGTGTTTTCATACATACATACATTTCTATGCATCTCTAAGACTACAGGTACTTTAAAGATATTCTTAAAAGAAACCCAACCTTATTTTTCTTTGTGTAGATTAAGCACACAGACCACACTACAAAAATAAAAGCAGGTGGGAACGGGGTCTGCAGTAACAACAGTGCCATTTCCCCACACCACCATGGGGCACAAAACTCATTTTTTTCTTTAAACCAGCAAGTTCAAGGTTATGTACCTGAAAAGAAAATTTAATAGACATTTAGCGTAAAAATGACCTGCAAACACTAAAACCACACTTAGGAGAACACTAAAACCAGACTTACTCGGACATCGGTAGCATCTCCGTGCCGGATAATGCTTGCCCACGTCGTGGGTTCACTGCTGTTTTCAAAGTAGTGAAAGACCTTTAGGACTCGTTCCATGGTCCCCGGGGACCGCTCCATCCCACCACTGAGATGCGTCTTTGCGCTCGAACTTGGCGTGTGATTCAAGTTTGGATCGAGGTAAGCTGCTGCCATAGTTTTGCTAGATGCTAGGTATCTGTCATATTCTAGGAAAGAGAAAATAAAATAAATTATTTTATACCTAAATCCTGTGCAGTTTCATACAAAATATTTATTGACAATCCTAAAAAAAACACTTAAGTGATAGTTCATTGCTTTTTTTGGTCCCTTGAACATACATACACAGAAAAAAATTAACACCAGTATCACCAGAGAAATTGCAAGTGTGTTTTTGAACACGCCATCCTCATTCAAACAAAGTGACATTACTTTTCCTTTATTTTCTTAATGTCTTAACCCTTTCCAAAAGCCTTGGGAGACTCAGAGCTGCTCAGGCTAACAGGCCACCCACCCATGCTCAAGGTTCACTTGGCCTCAAATAGTCACTGCCTTCCAGTTTTGGCAGGAATTTGCATCCCAGAAGCTCTTTTGGGCCATCTTGCAACATCCCACCAAAGATAAGCACCAGAAACCCTGCCAGGGAAATTGCCAAATTGAAGGCTCTGCACCAAAACACGATGCAGATCAACACGAGACTCTCCTGGTTAAGGGGAGGACACTCCCAAATCACCCATTTGGGGCTCATTTGAACACTCTCTATCCAGAGTGATGCAGACCTTCATTCTTCCATCCAACACTAATGAGGAACCACTAAGGACAACACTTTCCTTACTCTCAAGAAAGGGCTAGTTGTGTTTTTCACCTGGTTTCCAAGTGATTTCCAAGTCTGGAATTAAAGGCAGGGACTTCTAGCTCACCAATTCACCTTACCACAGAGGTCAGCAGGTCCATAACAGAAGAAGGAAGCCAGGGACAAGAGACAGATGCTACCCCTTCCAACCAGCAACATCAACCCCCTCACAGGGCCTAGGAACAGGAACTCGTATCAGCTCATACACCTTCTACATCTGCACCTCTTGAGTGACAACTGACCACTGTCCATGCAGCACAAACACAATAACTCAACACTGGCAGCGCTGGGTGCTGTGCAGCTCATGAAGTTCAACCAACATAAGCGCAAGGTGCTTCAGCTAAAGAGGACTAATCCCGTGCACCAGGACAGGCTGCAAGTTGCCCTGCTGGGAAGCAGCTCTGTGGAGAAGGACCTGGGGGTCCTGGTGGGCAGAAAATTGACCTAGAGCCAGCAATGGGTCCCTGTAGTCAAGAAGGCCAACAGCTCTGAGCTACATTAGGAGGAGTGGTGCCAGTAGGTCAAGGTAGATGATCCTTCCCCCTCTGCTCAGCTCTGGTGAGGCCACATGTGCAGTGCTGGGCTCTCCAGTACCGAAGAGACAAGGAACAACTGGAGAGAGCCCAGCAAAGGCCCACTAAGATGCTGAAGGACTGGAACATCTCTCACATGAGGAGAGGCTGAGAGAGCTGGGCCTGTTTAGCCTAAAGAGAGGGTTCAGGTGGAATCTTATTTAGTGGTGGTCAGTGATAAGACAAGAGGCAACAGCCACCAACTGAAGCACAGGAAGCTCTGTCTCAATTTGAGGAAAAACTTCTCGACTCAGAGAGTGACCGAGCCCTGGAACAGGCTGTCCAGGAAGCTAGGGGTGTCTCCTTGGAAATACTGAAAAGCCACCTGGACACAATCCTGGGAAACGTGTTTTAGGTGCCCCTGCTTGAGCAGGGTGGTTGGACTCGGTCTCCAGAGGTTCCTGCCAACCTCAACCATCCTGTGATTCTCCCAAATACTCTCACAACATCTACTCCTTGGGGAACCTGCCTGCTACCTTCTTCATAACCCTTGACTGACTTTGTGACCAAAAATTCAATAAATTAGTATGGCTTTTGCACAAGGTTTTATTGCTCTCCTTTCTTACTAGTAATGGGCTTAAAACTTTTCATCCATTGTACACTCACCTTAAAACCTCTCCTTCTATCCACACTGCATCACTGGACAGACATCAATGTTTTATTATGACAACCTTCACACCCCTTTGAAACAGCAAGTGGAAAAGTGACAAGACACCAATTGCTAGAGACAGGAGTCCTCTTAACCAGCATAACCCAGGCAAAATGCTAATGCAAAGGTGGGTTTTTTTTTTTTCCTCTCTCTTCAGAAAAGAGCTTCATATTCATCCCACTGAGGGAAAAATCTAGGCTGAAGCATCAGCTGGGCATGAGCGAGTAGAAGGTACTCTCCCTTTTCAACTGTTCGAAAACAGTTGAGCATCAAATATCACAGCACAGAGCTGCTTAGAATATTCTCCAAATTTATAAAAAAAACTCTTTTTTCTTCAGAGTTTGATCAATTTTGGATTCTAATCAACCTCTTTTAGAAGTCTCAACACTTGCGTTATGAGGTACCAAAGCAGCAATAAATGTGATGACTCAAACTGCAGGAACACAGGTCATAGCTCCAGGTAGGAGCCCATTAACATTCCCATTGAACACACCCCTCTTTTGGGGTTGAAAGCGCCTTTAAAACCACCCTAGGCCAAAAATTTGTAAAATATAGTCAGTATTAAGGTAGGGATAGTTAAACAATGACTCTTGTGAGATCGACTTGATTATTTTAAGGGATAGAAAAAGGTGAGACTATGCTACTTATTTGAGCTCTTCTAAGTTCAAAGCAGACTGCTTTGTAATACTATCACTGCAGATTTCAGTTTAGCAGAGCAGATTTAGATTTCTTGGTATTAAACCGGAGGAACACAATGCTATTAGAAGGCAGAAACAACCCCAAGTGCATACAGAGGCTTAATTCTGCAAGGGGAATTAATTCTGATGTATTTTACTGCATATTGCTGTGCTTAAAGAACCTGGGGATGTTGAGACTGATGGGCTAATATCAAATCTAGCCCAAGTTGCTTGTATGTGAAGCCAACAATCCCTCTGAGCAATTCTACTGCTCTCATCTCCTCAAACCTGATAAAATACCCCCCATATTTCTCAATACTGCAGGAGTTGCTAGAGGGCTAGGGAAGAGGAATGGGGAATAAATATGTAGGGCTCTTAGCTCTGTGATATTTAGTGGCTATATTTAGTGGATATTTAGTTAAGATATCACAGGTGTTGCCAAACTAATGATGCAAACCATTGCACTAGGAAAGGATTACAAAGCTGGTTATCTGTATTTCTTCTTAGAAGCACTGTGTGTTCCCCATATTCTACAGACACATGGGGAACAAAGTCAAGTTTATGACTTTTCACTTAGTAGAAAGGATCAAAGTTCAGGTTCACATATTCCTATCAGCTCCCAGCGCTCTGAAACTCAATTGCTTCCAGTAAAGAAATGCTCAAAGAATATCATACAAGACATTTAAATCAATTAATTTTAAAAAGCTTATTAATAAACTTGCAATAAAGTTATCCTAATCTCCTAAGGGAAATCTTTTCAGTGCCAACATCTTCAGTAAAAACAGAAAGAACAGCACTCACACTAGGAATGGCAGACAGCCAACAAGAAGGTGTTAACAGGTTCCTGCAACACCAAACCAGGCTGCTATTACAGAATCAGAGAATGGTTATGTTTGGAAGGGACCTCTAGAGATCATCTAGTCCAAACCCCTGCTCCAGGAGGGACACCTAGAGCACGGGGAACAGAGTGGCATCCAGGCGGGTTTTGAAGACCTCCAGAGAAGGAGACTCCACAACCTCCCTGGGCAGCCTGTTCCACTGCTCTGTCACCCTCACAGTGAAGAAGTTCTTCCTCACATGGAGATGGAACTGCCTGGGTTTCCACTTACACCCATTACCCCTTGTCCTGTCACTGGCCACCAATGAGAAGAGCTTGTCCCCTTCCTCCCTAGATTCCCCCTTCATGTCCTTATACAAGTTAATCAGATCCCCTCTCAGCCTTCTCTTCTTCAGAGAAAACAGGCCCAACTCACCTAGTCTCCCCTCGTACGAGAGATGTTCCAGTCCCTTAATCATCTTGGTTGCCTATTACTCACATGGCAAATCCAGGTTGCCTTCTGTAGACATCATGAAGTCTTCTAAGATCTGTCGCTAAATCTCCGTATCTCAATTCCCATCTCAGACCCAAAGGTACCTGAGGGGATAATGTAGGGAGGAAGGGGCCAAGCTCTCCTCAGTGGTGGCCAGTGATAGGACAAGGGGCAATCGGTGTAAATGGGTTCCTTCCCTACATTTGATTGCAATAAAATACCAAGAGGTATTAATTTAATTTCTCAGACTGTTTTTTCAGCAAGTACTGGAAAGGAAGCACTTTAGGTCAGTTCATTTACTTTTAGTAATCACTTCTCCCCAAGTTCAAGTATGGGCCATGGGCAAGAGCTGGATGAAGAAGGAGCTCAAATACAAGGTAAATAATCGAGTCCCTTCTGCCTAATGGGCCAAGGGACCTAGGACAGGCTGGGGTACTCGATGCCTTCTTCACATCAACCTTCATGGGTAAGATCTGCCTTCAGAAGAAGGCAGCCTTTTGCATCCTCAGGGCTGCCCAGTGGAAGCACAAGTAGTAACCAGCAGAAACTGCAATCCGAGAAATTCCTTTTCGATACAAAATTAAAACATCTACTGTACGGTGGTCAGACCATGAAACAAGTTGCCCACAGAGGTTGTGGCATCCCCATCCTTGGCATTAATCCAAACTGCACTCGATTCTCAGTAACCTGCTCTAGTTGACACTGTTTTGAAGGGTTGACTCTAGATCAACTGATGACCCAGACAAATCTCTGCAGGCCCCTTCCAACCTCAGCTATTCCACAAGCTGATGACTCAGAGATTGTAAATTAAGAATTTCACCCACACTTCACAGATACTTCTTTAGGGATTTTAATGTGTTTCACATTGGTCAGTAAACACCTACGTTGAGAGCTCAATCCATTTTCCACAGTTGTTATTAAATCCTCCTGCAGCTCCCCATGCAAATATTAACTTCTCTATCTCAGCCTCACAGAAAGTACACCTGGTAGGTACCATTTTAAACTATTTTCCTCATTAATCTTGTATTTCATACTGTCTGCATGCAGTGTTGCACATTGCTGACTTGTGGTATATCATCACCTGAAAAGCTTTAAAAAATAAAATTATAGAATTTAGTCCCTAGGTTGGACACAGATGACTCCCTAAA